TTGAGAAATAGATTATGAAAAAAAATCCAACTTTAAATTAATATTTAATTAAAAATAAATACTTAATACCAAAAAATTGCTTATCATAAATAATAATTTTTTAAAAGATAATCCTCATTTAAAAAATAAAAAATAATCTCATTTAAAGACTCATATTCATGAATTATATATCAAGATTATATATAATAATTTTCTAGAAAAACAAAAAGGATGATAATTTTTTATAATTTTTTAATGAATAATGAAGTACTAATGAAAAATAAATTAGAGAAGATTTTTTTTCTTTTTTCATTTTTTTTACTCTCCTTTGATAATGTATTTCTTAGAAACATAAAAGAGTTGAATAAACACATTATTATCTTAGAGTTTAAGATAGAAAGAAGACTGATTTATAACTAAGTGATGATGATTGATTTATAAATTCGAAAAAGTCAAAGGAAAGTAACAAAACTAAGAGTGAATTAGTTGAAAGCATATTGATTAAAGAAAAAATAATGAGGTAAGGAACAAGTTGTTTTGAAAGAAAATAGGTTTGACAACAACTAAATTTAAGGCTGTACTAGGTATTATATCTTTTGTATACAAACTTCGTTTTTTGCAAAATTAGACTTCAAAGTGAACCCCTGAAAAAAAGCTTCGTAATGAAAGAAGAATCATCTTGAAACTCGACTCGTAACTTGAGATATCATCCAAACAGTAAACATTGCCCAAAAATGCTTAGAATATGGAGGAGTGCAATTGCTCGGAACAAACTGTAAAGGTCATATTTGTCAGGTCTGAGATCCGTTTTCTACAAAATCAGACTCCAGATTGAAGCTCTGAAGAGAGCTTCAAAATGAATCAGGAATTGACTCAAATCTTGGTCTGCAGCTTGAGATATCGTTAAAAATAGTAAAACAGAGCTGAAAGTGCAACCATGTGGAACAAGTTGCGAAGTTTATGCACATTAGACTTTTTCAAGAGAGTGAGTTAGATCTAAAAATTATGTAAGTACCAAGAGCATCTTTGTCTTTTTTCTATCACAAAGGTGCTTTCCAATATATGAACGGGTGAATATGGATTGAATTTTAATAAAATCAATCCAAATTCACTTTAAATTTAATTATATAGATTGGATTTTAAATTAATCTATTTTATTTTTTTCAAAACTAGTTTAAAAATAATTTTAAAATTTGGATATGGTTTAAAACTAATTTTAAATTTAATTTTGATCAAATTAACTTTGAATGCTTACTTGGTGCTATATAACTATTAAGTAATTAATTTTTATAATTTTATATTATTTTTATTATGTTTTTAATTATAAACTTATTTTTAAAAAAAATATGTTTCAATGAATTAGAAATATTATTAATGTATTAATGTACTTTTCTAAAAAGTTAATGTATTCTTAATATTTTAAGATGTATGGTAATTTAAATTTAAATATTTATTTATTTATTTTTATGACTTTAGGAAATGTTTTTTGATTTTATGTATTGAAATGATTTTTTAAGAAATAAAAGAGAGGAGTAAAATGTATGATTTTAATTGGAGCTTTTATGTTTCTAAATGCTTTTTCAATCATTGTCTCTAAGTGGAAGTGGAGAAAAAGCGTAACACAGCCATATGCTTTCGTAATGTACTTTTGTAATGTAATTGTAGATTTTATTTGAATAAATCATATATCTATGCTCCTAAAAAGTAATCATTTATATGTATTCACTATTTTTTAAAATGAATCAGTTTTGATAGTTAAAATATGGATTTATCAAAGGAGATTCGGTCTAAATTCGGATAAGAAAACAAAGTAAGTCCAAATATCTAGTTTTATTAAAAAATTAGATTTTAAAACCTGTTTAGTTTTGGTTATGGATTAGACTTCTAAATATGAATTTTTTTTTTCAAACCTACTGCGCTTCAAGTCAGGATTAGGACAAAGTCTTGGTCCTTTATAACGTTGTCATGTGTTGTCATTCCCAATCACTCCAAACTCCTTATAAACCTGGCATACTTCATTGATTGTATAAATACCATCAATGTAAACACGCCAATCAATATTTTTACTACAATATGCATCAATCGCACAACGACATGAATATCTATCAGTATGCATATTACCACAGTCACAATACCTATGTCTTAGATCAATTCTATATTTTTCTTGTTAAATAAATCTTGAACATGGAAACTCCACTTCGTTGTCAAATTGAGTAACACGAAATTTTTTGACGCTAGCCTCATTTGATTAAAGTTGGGTTGTCACTGATTCTGAGCACATATGTCCAACTTTTTTTTATGCCTCACTACCTTTCTGAGCAAATAATTAAGCCAATTGGAAGTAAGTTGCTCGTTAAAGTGCAGTGATTAGAAGATTTTGAGCACTTTTTGACATTGAATTTATGCACTCAACCAGATTTGTGGTCATGTCACCCCACCTATGGCCTCCGTCAAATGCAAGAACTCATTTTTCTCTTGGATTTCATCAAGCTAATTTGAATAAACCTCTCCATGTTCCCGTAATTGCTCATACTAAATATTAAATTCATGTTCAGTTCTTGAATAACTAGTAAATTTCAATACGATTCATATTAGTAGTTTTAAAAACATACGACTATTGTTTTGATTGTTATTTTAAAACAAAATCTACGTCTTAAAGCTTACCTATGTAGACGACAAGTTTATGCAAGTAAGCAACATTAAATCTTCGTAAAAAATTGGCAACAATATGCCTAATACAATACATATGAAAGGTTCTTGGAAGTTTCTATTGTCTGTTGCTTCTTCTTATTGCTGTATTAATTAACTTATGCCGATCAGAAATTATGTCAACACCATCTTCGGTGACAACATGTTTGCATAGATTATCAAGGAAAAATAACCAAGCATTCATAGTCTCACCCTCAATGGTAGCAAAAACAATTGACTATATATTTTGATTACCATCCTGTGCAACAACTACCAATTGAACTTCCTTATATTTGCCATATAAATGTGTCCCATCAACTTGAAAAAGTTGTTTGCAATGCTAAATGCTCTCATACAGGGACTAAAAGTCCAAAACACTCAACGAAATATTTTAATATTGGGAACTAACTCATCATTACGATAGGCATCTACAATATTCAACTGAATCTCGAATAGAGTCACACATTGCTACACACCAATGACCAAATACTTTTTTAATTGCCTTTTGTTTTCTCATTCATGCTTTTCGATATGTTGTTATGTAATCATACTGAGATTGAATCTCACCAATTACAAGTTTTATCTTAAAGGAAGGTCATACTCAACCATTGGCTTTATACATTCTGCAATTATGTCAGAATCCAATTTCCTATGATCTTGAAAAATCCTTCCCCTTGTACATGTGTGCGAGTTATTGTACTTTCTTATCTCCCAAATAAACTTGTTTTTCCTAAAAGTAGCGCAAATAAGCTATCCACAATTTATTCCATACCTCATGCATTTACAATAAAAGGTATTTGGTTCTAACTCTACTACTTTGTAGTCTACTCTATTTGATATACTATAACACTTAATTGTTTGTATTACAATTTCTCTATCGTTAAATTGTTTCTCAATATACAATTCTTCATTTACATAAGAGTGACCTATCAAAGGAAAACACAAACATAAATTAATTAACAAGTAAAAAATAATTCATAAAAAGCATAATTAAAAATAACACATACCTAAGTTTGAATACTCTGAAAACTCAGATGCATACATAACATCAAGATCTAACAAACACATGAAGGTGGCTCTCCAAATGGATGTTTTCCAATAACTACGTTTGACAAATGGGATTCGTCATCATCACCATCGTCATCCACATCTCATCTTCACTAAGTTCACCACTTCCATATTATTCTTCAACCTCATTCTCATCACTTTCACTAGTATTTTATTTCCATTCTTCCTCTCTGTTTGGCACACTGCTTGCATATGCTTCATCATCTTCTTCATCAATACTAACTGCAATTTCTTTGAATAAACCATACAATTCAATAGCAGGGGTTAAAGGATGTCTTTGTTAATGTATTTGAAACATTTGTAGAACATCAATATCATTTGTTATTGGAACTGTATGATATTGCATGAAACTACTAAATATGGATATTGGACACCTATAAACAATACTTTCCATTGTTTTTAAAAATTCAAATTTAATATTTTGAATAAATCAATAATTCAGTTCTCCAAATGATATATTATCTTTTATATACACACGTTGACTTTTTGAACCTAAATAACACACATTCATGAATATTTGTAACATTCTTGCCATCAAAATATATCAATAATAACACACTCATTTTTTTTTCTATAAATATATCAATAATAACACACTCATTTTTTTTTCTATGATGAGAATTCACTCTTATGTTCTAAACCTTTTACCGCACTAGAATAAATAAAAATATCAGTACTTATAGACATATGTCAAAAATCGCCATCAACAATCTTTAAGAATTTTTTTTTATTTTTTTATATCATTAAAAAGTCACCAATGACAAGTTTTAAGAACTTTTTTTTTTATTTTTATACACCAAAACTTGTTAATGACAATTTTCTTGAACATATTTTTTTTAATTAAAACTTGCCAATGATTTTTAAGCTTTTATTTTTTTATTTTAATTTTTTAAATCTCTCCATGGGAGACTTTTATTTTTGATTGACAACTTTGACTTAAAAAAAGTCATTATTGACTTTTAAAAAATTACCATATTCATGTAATATTTTAAAAAAATTCCATATTTCTTGTATTTTCAAATTAAAAAACCGTATTAAAAAAATGAGCCTTTAAATATATCCTATTAAATCTTTACTTTCTATGTGATTTCTCATTCATTCTATAGTATACTATACAAAATTAATTCTCTCATTATGCACATATTTTAATATAAAATTTATAATTAAAATTTAATTTAAATTACACTAAAAATAACTCAAACTAATTCTATTAGAAGTTAATTTTGTTAAACTTTAAAAGAATCTCGCTTAGAGTTTTCAGTAGATATAGAAAATTAACAATGAAGAATATTACATTATAATAAAAAAGCTGGGTTAGAGCTTTTGGAGCATTTTCCAAAACAAAAATACAAGCAAATGAATCTTGTAATTGTGTTTGTCACTTGACTGAAACACAGTATTCTGATGAAACCTAACTCTTCCCAACAAAACGGTAAATAACAACACCAACTCTAGACCCATTGCAAGGAGTGTCAGTGTGCAAAACGTCGACGTTAAAGTGCTTCTTCGCTTTCTTGAAGAACACAGACTCTTTCTTCCACCTCCTCATGTGAGCCATCACAAACACCATATTCTTTCCCTCTTCTCTCTTCTCACCTCTCGTTAGCATCATTAAACGCAGCGTTTCAATAAGTGGCTCATAAAGGTGATCGTGATACACTACATCCGAAGCCAGAATAAGATCGAACCCCCGCCCAATCGCTTCCACGTCATCAGCGTGGCCCCACCTAAGCGACGCAACGGTCACGGCCCCACCACTGGACCCCACAACGCTCGCGTTGGCCTCCGCGTTGAATCGGAGATTGGGAACCACGTGCGGAAGGTCCGTGATGGTCACATTGCCGCCGAGAGTGGCGGCGGCGACGATTCCGACGATGCCGGTGCCGGAGCCGAGCTCGAGGATCTTTAGAGGGCCGTCGTGAGCGGCAGAGAGGGCGGCGGAGAGGGAGCTATTGAGAGGGTCGATGCGGTGGCGATCGAGGAGAGCGACGAGAGAGGTAGCGGCGGGCCAGAGTTGAAAGGACAGGCCCTCGGAAGGGAGTTGGCGAATGACGACCGTTGATTGGATCGAATGGAGGATGTGATTCTGGAGTAGGTGTTGCTTCGGTGCACCCTCGTGTAGGGTAGCGGAGATGCTTGGTTCCTCTTCGTGGGTTAGGAGTGCTTTGAAGGGGTTTATTATATCGTCTTCATCGTCCTCCTGAGTGCCCATTCTTTCTGGCTTTGTGGCTTTGACTTTCGATTGCGCCTTCGCCGCCGACGACGACTTAAGGGTACGTTTGGCTCCGAATTTATAGTCCCAACGGTGTGCTTGTAATTTTACGTTTCTATCCCTGGCTGTCCTTTTCGTTTTCGGAATATTATAAAACGAATGTTAAGAACACAGTACTCTTCAATATACTTGATCTGATTAATCCATTTATTTAGAAAATGTTCAATATCACATTAAATAGTATTTTTAATTAATAAATATATTTAAAAAAATTTAAGACCTAATTTTTGTTATTAAATTCATGTTATCATTTAGTTGTAAATGAATTAAGTTTAAGATTTCAATATTTCTAAATGAAATATATTTTTTTTACTCAAAATATCATTCGCCAATATTGATTTGAAGATGAAATGTTTATCTTTTTCAACTCAATTTACACAAATTGTAATTTGGACTGGAAAGAGAGAGCTAAAATGGTTTAATTGTCTAAATTTGATGATTGGGTAAATAATTTGATATACGGTATAAGGTGGGTTTTAAAATTTTAGACTCATTTTTCAATTTAACTCAATTCGATTCGACTCAGAAACCGACTCGTGTGAGTTAAACAGTTAAAGTTAAATAAATGTGTTTGTCCTCATTATTATTTTTTTAACCGCTGTTTATTCATATTAAACATTTTATATTGACTTAAATCTTTATATTAAACAAGAATAAAGAATAAATAAAATGTTTAGATCCAAGTATATTCATAACAAACTTTATCAAGTGACAAACACATTAAACATAAAATATTTATACATATTAACCAATATATCAATATTATTAATGTAAAAATAGAATAATACGATAATATAAACCTGTACAGATTGGGTTTATGTGACGTAATTCTTTTAATAATAATTTAGTCCATGAGTAATAATAGGCTTAAGAATTTCCTAACTTCAGACAAATACAAGAATTTCATAGCTCATCCTTTTTTCTCATGTTTCTTAGCTAGTCCTCGGAAAACACTACCCATTGGCTATCGATTCAATTGGAGACTCCACGCCGGTGCCGTCGACGGCGAAGGCACTGGTGCGATCTGTTCCAACTTTTTTTGTCTATTTCTTTTTGACGTTTCCTTTCTGTGAAATCTCGGTTCGTGTAGTTGATCTCATTTATCAAGCAAATTTGCTTCATTTTTCATAAACAATCGGTGCAAGTTTGTGAACTATGAACTAAATTTGAGTTATGATAAGGAAAAAAACCTCATTTATTTACTTGTTTATTGGTTGAATTGGGTGCAGAACGGACGAAGATGATAAAAGCAGTGATGGTGATGAACACGCAGGGGAAGCCTCGCCTCGCCAAATTCTACGAATTTCAAGTCCCTCTCTCTTCAAAGCCTTGACCTTTATATTTCGATTTATCGTTCAGTTGATGTAATTTTCACACTCTGCTTTCATGTTGTGGTAGATCAGCCAGTGGAGAAGCAGCAGGAAGCTGTTCGCAATGTGTTTTCAGGTCTCTCTCTCTCTCTCTCTCTCTTTTATTTTATTTTCTTTTCTATTTGTTTCGTTTTCCTTTTCTTATCAGCTTTTGTTTCTTTTGCAGTCTTATGCAGTAGACCTGAACATGTCAGCAATTTTGTAGATGCCGAATCCATCTTTGGCCCGGTATTTCGTCCTCCATTTTTCTGCTTGCTGTGATTTTGATCTGTCAGAGTCACGATTTGTGTCTCCTAATTATCATCAATAATGCGTTGAAATAAAAAAAAATTGAGAGTAGGGCTTTTCTTGGTACTGTTTGTCGGTACATTACTATATATAAAATGATGTTACGGTATGTATTGATTTATCTTGGTGTATGGTGGTAGAAAGAGTGAGAACTAGAACTGAATTACCATGAACTTGTTTTCAAACTAAAATCTTATGGACTGCTGTGATCATATCATAATTGTGAGTGTGTGCTTTTTATGATTTTTCGAATTAAAGACTTGCTGGTAGCTCTTCAATTGATTTCATATTTTGAATAAACTAGTGTTCTTAATTTGATACCCAACTAGTAATCCACTGATGTTATTTATTGTCTGTACTCATTGGAGCAATTCTTTGACTTATTCATAGTTATACCATTATCTCCTCCTTTTATCTGATGAAAGGAAGTACGAATTCAATTGTTGTGTTCTTCTTCAGGACTCTCGCCTTGTCTACAAGCACTTTGCAACTTTGTATTTTGTGTTTATATTTGATAGTTCTGAAAACGAGCTTGCTATGCTTGACTTGATACAAGGTAGATACCTGAACTACTCTCTTTATTGAAATTGTTGTATTTACCTAACAATTTATTGTATTGCATTAAGTGTCAAAATCTATGAGTACCACTTAGTGTTTATTGGATAAATTTTACGTAGTAATGGCAACTTGTTGGTCTGTGCTTGTCAGTTTCTGTCTTATGGAGTTTTCCCAAAGAAGCTATGAACTTTTGTTTGAAAACCGAATGCGAACATGATGTGATTTTTTATATTATCCAAGATGGGGAAATTTGGACAACATGAAAAGAGAGGTTTCTAAATGAATGTGGATAGAAATTTGTTGTGCCTGCTCAAGATCTATTATAAAAATGATGAATTTTAAACTTAAGTTATATATGGTATCAATGCTGCAGTACTGGTTTTATCATAACTTACATAAAAGTAATTTTGCTGAACTTTGTACTGCACATTATCAAGTGCCTCTCAAAGTGGATAATCTTTAAGGTATGAGAACTATTCGTGTACTGACTTTTACTATCCTTACAGCTACATTGTCCTGCTAGGCTGACTAACTTGAGAAAATATATCATACTTGCCATGAATTATGATATACAGATGACTTAAGTTATTTTTTATGGATGTCATCAATATTATCAGAAAGAGAAGACAGTAAATGATGCTTCTTTATATCAGTAATAGGTCGAGGACTAGGGTGATTGGACTTACAACTAGAAAATTGTGGTTCTAGGTTTTTGTTCCTTTTAGTTCTGAACCATAACCTATTTATTTAGCTGTTGGAAACTTAATAGTAGGTATACTAATAAAACATGGATGACAAGATTGAACTCCTAGAACTTTACTAACCCAGAGAATGTGCTTTTTTAGCCTTTTATGACTTCCAACCTACCATTATTATCCCAAAACTAAGTTAAATAGTAATAAAAAAAATCCTAAAATTATTCACTTTGAAAATTACATAAATATATTAAAATTATATAATTATTGTTGAAACCCATGAAGGAAGGCTTGGCACAACAGTTAGAGTTGTTGCTGTGAGATACGGAAGTCATAAATTCAAGTCATGGTGTTGGTGTCAACCTCTAGCAAATGCAAGGTAAAACTGCCTAGTGCCTACTATATACCCAACAATGGGTCTGACCCTTCATTCCACCCAGCGCATAACATGAACTTTTTAAATACCACTAGGATGCCATTTTTATTCTTGATACCCCCTATCTTGAATCAAATAGTATGACAGGTTTACTTGTTTATCTGATTAAAAGATAATACATTTGATGCTGGTTCTCATTATTAATCATTCTGAGCTCTGGTAGAGCTTAATTATGTCATTTGATCCATGTATGCGGCGAACAACCCATAGTGAGATATGGCTTGGTTGTTTTATGGCATAAGCATGTGAAAGAATAGGCCTCTGAAAACACAATTTACATTCTATATTTTTGGAGGGAAAAATAAGAATTCAATTCAAGTTTTAGGAAAATTTTGTGAAACCTAAATAATAATTAGCATAATCAACTCGTTTTCTGAAATTGAATTCGAATTTTTATCATTTTCATAGTGTTTTTGTGATCACTTAGCATTTTCATATTCTGAACTCTGTATTGTCCTGAAAGAAATGCTATTTGAGGTAATACTGTTAATAATCTATAAAACCTTCGAATTAGTTATTTTGTTCAGCCATTTCAATTCTATTGCATATTGTCCCAAGGATCCTGGTGGAGTAATTCTTTGCATTATGTATTACACATTACAGTCGGCATGGCTATTATGTAACCATGCTAAGTTGCTAACTGTTGGTCATTACTGCCTCTTGTATGATTGTTGATTTTATGGTTTGATTTGCTAACATTGTCTGTTTCTTCCTTCAGTCTTTGTTGAAACATTGGACAAATGCTTCAGAAATGTATGTGAGCTTGACATCGTGTTCAACTATAGTAAGGTTGTATGCTTTGTGCCCACAATTACAAAACATATATTCTTTATCACAAATTCACTCTATATGTCAATTTACCGTGTTGCAAGAAATGAATAAGAAACTGGGTTATGATTTAGAAAAGCATTTTGTGTCCTGTCTGCATGTTTGAGTTATTAGATTCTCAAATATGAAACAATATTTGACTTAAGTGTTCCTTTTTACTCTAAATATTGGTAACTCCCTTTATAAGTTTATTTTTCCACAAGTAAGGTTGTTTTGTTAATGCCTTTCAAATTAGGGAATGAATTTCACTCTTTTGCTTAGTCGTTTAATAATGTCAATACTTTGATCCAACCAATATCTGCATCTCAAATTTCCATTAATGTGACCATAAAAAATGTGTTCATCTGTAGATGCACACTATATTAGATGAGATCATTTTCGGAGGCCAGGTGTTGGAGACAAGTTCAACTGAGGTTATGAAGGCTATTGAAGAAATATCAAAGTGCTTTCTCTTTCCTTTCTGGTTTTTAACTCGGTCTTTCTTTTTCACATTATAGTAATCATCAAGGAAATGCTACGTCATTCTAGTAAACGAGTAATTAAATTTACATTTTCTTGATAATTTTTTTTTTTGTTTTAAATCAGATGGAATGGTGACAAAAAAAATAAAATTTTAAATATATTTCTGTTTGAGTTTTACATTTTGTGAAAATAGATTCGTATTATTTATATTTATGTGCACATACACCATATTTGAATGTTCTTTATACGTGAACCAGGCTTGAAACAGCATCCAATGCAATCAATCTTGTTCCAAAATCTGTTTCTGGTTGGAGGTCACGGTAATATATTTCAGATAAGCTTTCAGAATGATCTGCATTCAGACATAGAAGGGGTCTGAGAGGTGAGGTATGTATGTTCAGGAAAGTCCGTAGGATGTATGTTGTCTAAAACTCTAAATGTGGGTGCTCCTAAATGAGGCACCCTGATTTACAGTCTGAATCGACCATGGTTGCTACTGATGAATTAATGACGAGCCAGTGAGGCAATTGGTGAATTCGTATTTTTGATTCACTACCCTTATTGGTCTAAGGAACTGTGTACAACTTCACTGATCATTCATTGTTCCCAACTGATCCCAATTTCAGTTAATCTGTTTGTTTCAATCAAGCATGAAATGTTGATATTGTATAAATACTTTCCATGCAGTATAGTTCACGATGAACCGCTACTGGAACCAATGCATTGAAAAGATGTCAAATTATCTTAAAGCATTACAAATTGTAGTTTTCTGAAATCCACGTAATAGCTTCTGCAACTATGTTATGCAATTGTTCATCCAATAAGATAAATCATTTTCATGATTCGTCTATCTAATGCGTCGCAAATTTTGCGAAAGTTACTGCTCATAATTCCAATGAAAGACCCATCTTTCCAAGCCTTATTTGCAGGCAGTAACAATTTGGGCGAGTTATAATTACGTATCACCATTCAAGTTCTTTCTCTAACATCTTGAAGAACTAAACGGGCAGCATTACGTCCAGGTGCTCCCATAACTCCACCGCCAGGATGCGCGCCACTTCCGCATAAGTATAACCCTTTTAGCGGAGTCTTGTAGTTTGACCTTAGTCACAAATCAATGAAATCAGCAACGTAATTATCAGGGAAACAGCATGGTTATGATCAGTTATATGTCAAAAAAAAAATAAAAAAAAATCAGATTCTATCACAAGCCATTTCAATATAGTTTACCATCCCTTTACAGGTCGCATGAGGAAAAGCGAATCCAACCCCATAGCACCGTGGAATATATTTCCTCCTGCCCAGGAAAACAGTTCTAAGTGTTAATAGCCACAATGTACAAGTGCTTTCTGGTGCAACATCGGAGAATTGGGAAACTTCTTTTCATGGATGCTTTCTCTTAGGTGTCTCTCGTGTCCTAGAAGCTGTTTAGCTTGCACTTGATAGAAAATTTATCAGCTGCACAGGATTTTTTTGGGTGAATATGGCTAAGTTACCTGTCAAACCGATTTCCCTTTCAAGATCTGGTGGAGTCAGCATGTCATAACCAATGATTGATGTGCTGAAGCCAGGGGCATATTCATCAATCAATGTGAAGCATTTTTGTGCAAACGATTCCTGAATAGGAGGATAAATAAGATATAATTAAGCACCTTCAAAATAAAATAGTCAACAAGTTGTTTCAGAATTAAGTGGCCGTGTGCACACACAGGTGCATATATGACCATGGTGGAGCAAAACAAATCTGTACATAGATATGCACGACGAAACATAAGAAAAAAATTAATGCAACTAGAACATCCAAAATAAACTAACTCTGTAGTCATGATCTTGCCAATCACCATCCAATGGGTTGTACGGTGTATACTGCACAAACAAGTTTATCACATGCTTACCTATGAAGAAAACACAATCACAAACTAGATATTATCAGCATATATCACATATTATGAAGGCATAAAATACGTATAAAATAACAAAATGAGTGCTAAAACAGAAGCCAACGTTCCAATTCTGCTCCACTTGTCAAAGAAATTCAATTGAATGCTAAAGGCAAAACAAAGTCACTTCACCAATGCTGAGTAATAATCGCTAGAAATGTGGCAAACACATTCAAAGAAAGCTTCATCTAGTAAACAAAATATATTAGAACATTCTAAAATGCATTACCAGGAGGAGATATAGTTTTGTCCAGTACAGAGGGAATTGTCATCTCAATGACGGGTCTTCTCGATGGTACTCCATTTACTGCATCTTGACACGCAGAGTGAATCTCCTCCATGCTGAAATAGAAATTAACAATGGCAAAGAAAACAGTCATGTTCTGGGAATAAATAAGTTGCAGATGTCCATATTGAACAAGAATATAGCAAATGTTGATATTGATTAGACAGCATGACAAGAAACCATAAAAGATGCAATAATGTTTCAAATTGAACTTACCTCTCTGAACCTATATGAATTGTGCCGACATGCTGGGGACCAGCATGGGGATGATTTAGCTTGCAACAACGAAATTGGGGCAACTTATCAACTGCTACATTTATTTTTGTAGTAGCCTGTTTCAGTAGATATTTACCAAATAAAAGAATGACAATTAATAAAGAAAAAATAGTGAGAAAACTTCCCCAAAATGTGTTCTGAAAAATTAACAGAAGCTGCTGGGAGAGAAAGAGAAAATCCTATAATATCGAATCCAAATCTGTCTTTGTCATGTCTACTTAATTGTTGCTGTCTGTCAAATGTCAATGGCTGACCAGCTTAGAACTTAATCACATTTAGTGGGCTAACAGAGGGGAAAAAAAAAATTTCACAGGTTCAAGTTATTTATAGCTAGCCCAGCTTTGTTTTCTTGAATTTTTTGTCTTAATTATCCCAGGTTAGTCATTTTATTAATATTTGAAGATTCTCCAGAAGATGTGATTTTCCCATCCATGAATTCCAGGCATTATTCATAGGCAATCAAATACAAGCACACTGTTCATATATTCTAATCTTACTTATGATTCCAGTTCAGTAATACATAGCATAAAGAGGGTATTAAAAAAGAAACATAAACTGAAAAAATATAGTTAACTTACAGAACTGTAGTCAGAGAGCTTAATGGCATGAGTAAAATCATCAGGGAGGACATCATTGGGTACTAATTCCTGGTTTATATTAGCAGATGATATAAATTAGTGCCAAGTATAGGTGCCAAAGAAGTTAGTATTCACAGCTAATTTGAGAATTTACCATGAAAGTTTTATATGGTGTTGCATTAGACAGAACAGTTGAAGAATGCACTTCAGTACCATCAGCCAAAATCACCTATATGAATGCAATATCTACAAAATTTAATTGCCAAGATCCACCTTTAAAAATTCACTTAATTGAGTAAGCTCACAAGTCATGAACAACACTAACCCCACAGACAGTGCTAGAGTTTTCAATCAGCAACTGAGACACCTATAACAACACAGAATATCACAGGTGATTAAAGCCTAGGAGAAATAAAAGGAGAAAAACGGGGAGGGGGAGACGGAAGATCAAAGAAGAAACATGCTCCTATTCTCCTATCCTTTTTTCTTTTTGTATGAGCTGATTTATTATTTATATGATATTGCAAGTTGGTTTTTCTTTCATTTTGGATAAGAAATTTAATTAGTAAACATGGTCTTCTCAACACTCAGCACAGAGATACAAAAGAAAGAGAAAAAATGCACTTGCAACTGTTAAGGAATTGGACTTTGAAAATTTCATTGGTGCTTACAGTGAAAATAAAAGATCAAGGGTAGTGCACTGTAGCAATCAGGTCTTGGGAGATGCAGATTCAATAGAAAAGTTATGAGCAACTTTCTTTTTTCTTCAGTTTAATGCCTTATCACATTTACTCATATGTTATTCTCCTTTCCCTTTGTATTCTTCTCTTTGTCAAAATGAAATTCTTCTTTTATTAAAAATTTTTATTAGATATTATTCATGTCCCACATACTGCTGACAAAAGCTCTTTAGCTTGCAGGTTTATGAGAAAAATTATTGAAACAAGTGCAATATCCTTCCAATCTTTCCTTTTGAGGAATGGCTACTGTAAAACCAGAATGTACTATTGAGAATTGAGATTCCCCCGAGTTTCTATGCTTATTCAACTTTGGTGCTCAAATCTGACTGACATAACCGTATTTCTCCCTAGCTTTAAAACTGTCTTTAAATTATGCAGAGATTTGACTAACCTAAAATTATGGAAAATGAATATGATCTGTTTTACTTGTTTTGTTATTTCTATTACAACAACAACCAGGTCTTATCCAACTAAGTGAGGTCGACTACATGGATCACACAACACCAAGCTGGATTTGTGACTATTCTTAATTAGAAATTTATCAGAAATGAAAAGTAAATTTTTTTTACAGTTATCAACATGCCTGTGGCCTTCCACAGTTTCACAGCTTCAACTCATTTAGACCTTGCCTAAATTTTTATTATTTTCTGGTTGCATTATGATCCAATGGAATAAGGACACAAGCGTATCAGACGTTGCTTAGAATGAGAAAATTGATAATGTGCTGACTACGAAGGGAGTATATTGAAAGCTAAGATTCTTGACAACATACCTCAGCATTGGTTTCAACATGTGCTCCAGCTCCAATAGCAGCATCATAAATAGCCTTTGATATTGAGCCCATTCCACCTTCAACATATCTACTTGGAATAATAGAATGCTATTCACTTTTTTTATGAACATTATAAAGCTATAGATAAAGGGTAACTAATTAATAGTTAAATGTTTCAAGTATACAATTAAGAAAACATTACTCTGGAATGCAACTTCAGAATAATTTTTTGAGATGAAATAAGAGTGACATATTTTACTTTTAATATATTTGTACTCATGTTTATATGTATGTCTGGTTTTATGTTCACAATACTGTTAAGAGATTGCCATTTTTGTTTAGTCATGATTTTCAAACTTCCAAGTCGACTTGTAAATGGAATACTAAATTGTGATTGTATGGCGACTAAATGCCACGCATCAGTGTTTCCTTTTTCTGAATAAATATCTAGGTAAGATGCACCAAGAAGTACTAGTAAATTTAATTTAATTTCAAACACTAGCACAGGAAAAATATTTTAGGCAAATAACAGTATTCCATTCTGAAGATGCATAGTAAAGGTATCAAACTAGTAAGAGAGATACATACGACCAAATTCCGCGCTCCCCATCAGATTCTCCCATCACATGATGTAGCAGCACATAGCCACTTCCTGGGGTGTGGACACTGGCCTGCATTACAAATTTAGAAATACTATAGATGCTGTGAAAGACGAAACTTTTGCTATGATATCTTTTATCAAAGAAAACTGAGTAGAATAATTGCACTGTAATTAGTCACTCTCTCTCTCCAAGAAGGATGAAGTATTTCTTTTTTCTTTTCATTTTTTTTTGGGGGGGGGGGGGGGGGTGGGGGGTGGGGGAGGGGGTTGTTTAACAATATAATTGTGCACTATTTACAGTAAAGTTAACTGCTCTTACAGTACTTCCTATCACAGCATCAGTTGCAAGGGTTGCCTTCAGAACATCTGCCTGCAGAAATAATGTCAACAAAACTGAACATTAGGCAGTTACACGACATGAAATGTAAAAACTAGAAATGTCTTTACAGGAATTATTAAACAATGCATTACAATTGAAAATTGATTGTGCTTAACTCAACCCCAAAAGCTAGCTCATGAGGGGAGATGACACAAGTTAACAAAAGACTTGACATGTAGTGTATGAAGTTTGCTAGAGTCGACATCTACAAATGGCCCTACACTAGAACTGAGATAGAATCTAATACTATATTAGAATTGAGAACAGACTAGACTAAACTCAACCTTAAAAGTTAGCTAAAGGAAAGATAATTGCCCAAGTCAATATAAGGGATACTTTGCTCATATATCGTGCTGATGTGGGATTTTAACTCAGTGAAACCAGGAAATAGATATCGTATCAGTATATTGATGAAGAACTGCTATGATATGGGTCATGAAAGGAAAGAAAAAATTAAGATTATATGCAATCCTAATTCACTGAATAGACATGCAGCTAGTCTCTAGTTGAACACTTCAACTCGCATTTCAAAAAGTGTTAATATAAAAAATAAAATAATAACGAAAGAAAGTTCAACAAACTTCTACGACATGAGATATAGATATAGACTAGATCACTCATTGTGGACCTATATTTTAGCCTACACTAGGCTTATATACTTAAGTAAATTTAAAAAATATAATAATAATAATAACATCATAATGCCAGCCTATATTATCATTATTGTCATCATTGTTTTTAAGATTATTCACTTCTTCTGTTTAAAGGCTTAAGCTTGCTAACTTACATATAAGTAAGTTTACGCCTATAAGCCTATTTAGATATAGCTCTTTTGAAAAAGGGTTTATAATAAAGTAAGTTTGTAAATATACTTTTAGGGCATGTCAAGCCTTAAAAAGTAACCTATATCAATTAAATAAGTCAGACTCAGTGTCAGACCCTAAATTAAAAATCAGGTTAGGCTCAGGCCTTCAAAAAACTAACCCAACCCAACCTGTTTTTCTTCCCCTAGATATAAACACAAACAAAAGTCTAAAACAGCAAAGAATTAAGATATACATTCAATTTTAAGATACAGTCAGTCAGTTTGAAGTTAAAGATCTAAATGAAAAGCAATTAAGACCACAACATTACCTCAAACCAGTTGTTCAAAACCTTAGAAGCTGGGGATAATAAAAGATCCATAAAGTCCCTTCCAAATAAATAAACAGTTTTCACAATGTCAAATCACTAGTAATGATGTGTTCAAAGTAATGCAATTTAATGCTAGTAGAAACAAATTTCTATTGGAGAAACAAACACTTACACCATATCCTTTTGCCCCAAGGAGGATGCTTGCCGCAGACAACTTGCCCAAAATACTGAATTCTGTATTTTGTTCTTCAATCTTTCATTAACAGATGATTTATGCTGCAAAGATTCTGGTGGAGGCGAATCAAGCACTAGATCCATGAATTTACAGAAGCTTTCAAGCTGACTCTCATATCTGAATAATTAAAAAATTAAAGGAAAGAAAAAGAAGGGTGAAAGAGAGAAAAATCTTGTTAAATCACGAATATACAGTCAATGCAGCTAGAAGATAAGTTGGTCAAATTGACATCTTCAAAATGGTCAACGAACAAATTGAATGAAGAATATCAACATATTTTTTAGCAAATTGCACGAAGTACATATGATATAACTTTTTACTAAACAAACAATATTTTTAAATTTTCTGATTACCTATTCAAGCAAGAAATGAATAGAGCTAATATTAACCATCCATATAAGATTGAATGACCAAGATTTTTTATTTCTCAACTCTCACACTCTTATTGATACATCATTATTATGACAAAACATACTAGTAATACCATAGTTACTTCTGGTGCTATTCTCTAATAAAGAAAAAAAATCACCTTAAGAACTCACACAATGAAGATTCACTTCTGCATTCTACAGGTGTTGCAACGTAAAACTCTACTTTTGGCTAAAAAATAGCACTAGAAGTATTGTTCTTATCTTCATTATTATTCTACACTACTAAATTTTTCACTAGCTGTCCAAGAAACACTAACTCTAATTTTCCACGAAATGCTTCCAGTTGCGTTATTGGCATTCTTCAAAAGCCAGGATCAAAGGTACAGTGCTATTCATTTTATCATCTAATTCAAAAGAAACCTTTCAACTCATTCACAAACAAATTCACAATATCGCTAGAAAACAATGGAGACCTTGGATAAGCCTCGGCGTCATTGAGTGAGAATTTGGAAATCTCGGAATTATTGAGGTGCTTGTCAGGTCCTAAGAGAAGGTAACGTCCATCGAGACAGGGCGTAAACGACGACGGATTGCGCTTCAGAAGCTTCAAGCCGTGCTTCCCCAACTCCAGCTCCTTTATAAGGGACGGTCGAAGGAGGCTTTGCAAGTAGCTGCACCGGGAAAACTTGAAGCCCGGAATGAGTTCCTCGGTTACGGCAGCGCCGCCGATGACGTGGCGGCGCTCCAGGACAGCCACCGAGAGGCCTCCTCGGGCGAGGTACGTGGCCGCCGTGAGGCCGTTGTGGCCGCCGCCGATGACAAGCGCGTCCCATTTCTTGCCCTTCAAAGTCGCCGCGCTGCTGCTGAAGCTCCTTCGCCACATTTCTGAATTTGTGAATGGTATAGTCCTTTTTTTAGTGCAATGATTTTTACTATTATTGTTCAAGAGTGGATATGTTCGTGGATTCGGGTTGTGCTCCAATGATGCAGGGTCTACTTGTTTAAAGAAACTAGTTCCAAGTAACCAAAAAGAAACTAGTTGGTTTTTTTTTTTTTAATGTGCTTTCCAAATATAGGAAAAAAATTCAATAAATAATTCCTGTTTTAAAAATAAACATATAATATAGTAATTTGAGATAAACACATTTGATCAGGATCATTTGGCTCAACTTTTCACACATTGTACATATAATATTTTAGATATATTGTTATGATTACCAAAGTTGACATTGAGTTCCAAACACCACGTGAACATATTGGACATGAGATGGAGCTTGCTTATCATGATAAAGTTTCATAGGCTGCACATCAGAATTTTCAATACAATTTAATATATTCTTCAACCATTTTAAGACACAAACACTTACAAGGTAACATTCTAACAGGCTTAACCTTTTTAGGACCCTAGGCCAAAAATAGGAAATCAGGTCCATTTCAAAAAAATTATAAAATATAATAAAATAAAATAAAAGTATATGCAAATAATTCTATTAAAATAATACTATTTTTTTAAATAAATATATTTTTTTCTAATAAAATTACAACAACAAAAAAGTTTTCATTCAAACAACTCCTATATTATAATTAACTATAAAAACACAAAAAATTATGAAAAATAGGTTTTATGAGCATTTTGAGATGTAAAATAATTAATAACAACATTAACATTAATATTTTCTAAAAATTCCTTCTTGATCAATAGAATTATAAGATCATTTAACCGTTCTTATGACATTGATGACTTTAGGTAAGTTTTAATCAACTTTAGCTTTGAAAAAAAATCCTTTCAACTGATGTTACAGTCTCTGGAACCGTAAAAAAAAAATCTATAAGCAATTAAAATATTTGGATAACAATCTGTAAATTTGACAAACTCAAAAATTGTTTAATTTTTGAAAAAAATTATAATTTTTCATGAGTTTTAATGCTAAAAAGAGTATAATTTAGGAATTAAATGAAATTTTGAGTTTAAAGAAGTAAAGGAATAAACTACGTTTATGACAAGTGAAATGTAAGAAATTGAAGGGCTTTTTTTGTTTTTCTATTTTTTTTCAACTACAAACTGTAATTAAAAGTTAAAATTTTTGTTATACGTAAAAGAAAAACACGGTTTTTACTTTGGGTCCCTTTCAAGCCTGGATCTTGGGCGGTCGCACTTCTAAACTAACCTCAGGGTTGGGCTTGCATTCCAATTTCCTCACTATGGTCATTGCATGAATTAAGACAATATATAAAAATAATAAGAGAACCCTAAGTCTAGTAAAATATAAATAGATCAATAGTCCAATTAGACGTTAATATTATTCTGGTCTCGAAAAAAGAAATCTATTAGCAAGAGCTCTAAAGATATAAGAGTTGGTTAGGCTTAATCAATCCAGTTTCAATAATAATGTATAACATACTTTTTCTTTGACATAGATAAATACCTACTAGGTATCATGTCACTTCAACTCTGAGAAAATATTTCAATATTCCTAAATCTTTCATATGCAAACATGCATGCAAATATATCTTCAATTGTCTAACAACTTTATGGTTATTTTTAGTCATAATCAAGTTGTCATTATATACTAAAACAACAATTGAACTCCTAACCTTTGCAACACAAATAATGAGTAGTCAAACAAAGATTTTCATAATCCAAAAGCTTTTAGTGTATAGGACAACTTTTCAAACCAATATCTAAGTGCATAATTAAGTTTGTATAATGATTTTCTCAGTTTATATACTATCTTTAGTAATATTAAAAGCAAGTAGTATAGTAAACACAACTAACACTACTTGCACTATCATCATTTTTGCAATGTAAAGAAAGGTCTCCTATAGTCAATTCTTTTCTCCTAATGGTTTCTTGAAATGATCAATTAATTTTTGAATCTCTCTATTATCTCATCTAATTGTTATTTAATATTATAGACACATTTGCATCCTAAGGACATTTCCCTAGAAGATTAAGATGTTATTGTCCTTGTTTATCATTTTCAAGGGCATAGACCTCATTTTGCATGTCTTCTCTCTATCGGTGGTCTTGGAATGCTTCATTGTAGGTCATTAGTTCCCTTTCTTGTTTAAGAGTTGCAAGAAAGAGTCTATTACTCAATGCGTCATTATCATAATTCACATAGTGTGTAATAAGATAGAAAACAATTGGAGATATGCTTAGAGAAGGTGACTAATTAGATAGACTAAGTTTTAGATGATGTTGGTGACAAAATCATGTTGTCTAAAAGAAGGTTTCTTGACTTTACGCCTTTTTCCCCTTTGTTCTCCTCTTAGTCAATGTTGGATGCTTCTTGTGTGTCTCTAGGTGAGTTATATATGTGCGTATGCGTGTGTGTCCCTTATCATTAGTATTGGATGTATCATATTCAAGACATGTATCTAGTCTTTCATCTTTATATGCATAATATGGGATGTTTATTTCTCCTTTGTGGCTATGCCATAAGACTCCATTATAAAAGCAATTACTCAACTGATTGAAAAGATACTAATTTTTAGTATAGTGATTTAATCTAAAGCTCAACCCTACCTAACCTTAAAGTTGTCACAATCGAGCGGTCGCAACGGTACGGCGAAAACGTGTTTAAGAAAAATATCTTTTAAGAATAAAAACATTTTTCTAAAACTCAGAGGAGTCGTCACCAAAGTTTATTTTAAGAAAACCTTGAAAAAAAAACTTAAACATAATATGATTTTTGAAACCAAAAATGAGTTCGGGAGTCATTTACGTGTAGAGAAGGTATTAGTACCCTACAATGTCCATTTTAAAATGGTTATCTTAAATTAATTATGCAAATTTATTTTAATTTTAAAAAATATTTGTTTAAACCCTAAACAATTATTATTATTATTATTTATTTTAAAAGAAGACAAATTATTTATTAAAATATTAATGGATACCTTAAAAAATTATTTTAAAAATTATTTTGACTTGACGGGTCTTGTTTCCACTCCTACGTATCCATGAGTGCAATGGGATTTCAAAGCCACGTACTTCTATCTATAAAAATTATGAAATTGGTTGATTAAAATTAAGTTTAGTAAAAGAAAATTTATTTTAAAATTAAAATTATTTTCATAAAATTATAGTGTTTAAGATACAAGATAACGCGGTTATACATATACCTTACGAGAAACAAATACAGATAGTGAAGGGAGATCACACAACTATAATGCAAATCGTTAAAATATTTTATTTGTAAATGAAGTATTTGAATTTTAATTTTGATTATGATTAATGTTGAAAGAAATTTAAGATAGCGTAAGTTATATATAAACCTCTTATAATTTATTATACTATCGAAGATAATGTAAATTACACATCGATATAACAAAAATTTGTATAGTAAAATGAAGAAAATACTGGTTGTTTAATTTATTAAATTAGAAATATGATTTAAGAAAATTTAAAATATGAAATTAATTCTATTTAATGAAATAAATAAATATATTTAATTGATTAAAAATTATTTAATAAAAAAAAATTAAAACTTTGTTTGATAAATTTATATTGTATAGAACTTAAAATAATGTTGATACACATAGATTCTAATAATTTATAACACGTAAAGGTAGAGTTGCTACACATTAACATTATAAATTATTGTGTTAATAAAATAATTTTTATTGATTAATTAGTAAAATAGTAATTATAGAGAATATATTTTGATTGATTATTAAGATAAATTTTTTAATTAATTAAAGATAACATATGATAAATTAATATTGCCTAAAGTGTAGGTAACATAGGTACACGTAGACTTTATTAATTTATAACACACAACGATAAAGAAGCTACACGTTAATATTATAAATTGATACATTTATTATTTATTTATAATTTACTATTTCTGAAATAAAAGAAAATAAATCATAAATATAAAATTGAATTATATTAACATCTACAATAAATAAAATAAAATATAATAATTCTTAAGAATGAATAATTAATGTAAAATTAAGATATAAATAATAAAATTACAAGAAAAATATGAAGAGAATTTATTATTAATATTAGAGTGAGATAAAAAAATTTGTATGGCATTCTATCAACATTAATAATTTTTAATTATTATTCTTATTATTATTATTTGAAAATAATAATAATAATAATAAATATAAAAAATATATATTGAACAAAATAAAATAAAATAAAGTAAAAAAAGAATAAACAACAATAAAAATAAAATAAAACAGAATAACATAAAAATGAATAAAAAAAATAAACTAAACAATAAAAAAAATTGGATTAAAGGAGTTGGTTCGATCGGTCTACTCCTAAGCCTATTGGATTTAAAAATAAATGAAAATAAAAAAATAAAAAAATATTTAAAAAAAAAAGTTTGACGTTTTGATTTGACATATGTTGTAGCGTATAATCTTTCTCGTTGGCTAGTATGCATCAGACCTCTTGTCCGCTGGCTAGTGTGCAGGCTTTCCAACTTTTATTTTAAAGCAACTAATATAATAATCATAAAAAGAAAACGAAAAAATTAATAGTTTTGAACATTTTTTTTACTATCATTTATTCCTTTTATCATATTTGAGATTTGGTGGAAGAAGTATGAAAAGTTTTGCAACACAAACTTCACGAGTATAGAAATATACCTTCGACTTTGATTTTGTTAGTCCTGGATCTAAATGGCAAGGAAGAGTGATGGCCAAGCTGAAATAATTTAGGTGTGCTTCTCCTTTCCTTTTGTGTCCAATTTGTAAATTTTTGTTGCTCTTTTTCTTTTCCTCTTTTTTTCTTTTGTAGATCTCCCCCTTTGAAATCTTGTTCTTCTTAATAAAAAGCTCTTTCTTTGAAACTTTATCACCTCTTCTTCAAAAAATTTGCTTTCGTACTCTAAAAAAAATATTTAGAATTTTTTTTTGCTACTCCTTAAAAACTTTTTTTTTCTCCTTTCAGATCTCTTAAAGAAACTTGTTGCCTCTCCCTTAAAATTTTATTTTGAAAGCTCGGTCTCTCCTCTCTAAAAGGTTTTTACTTTCCTTCTCAGAAAAAAAAACTCCCTCATCTGATCTCTTACTT